TTGTCTGAGTAAGTCTGTGTGAGAGAATAGCATTTAAGCTCTGATAAGAATGGGTCAGATCACATCCCCAGCCTTGGCTAATGTGATATCTTTCTGAGTCAGCACAGGACCAAGCTTTAAACAAACACAGCATTCAGGCAGACATGACTATCTGTAGAAACCTCATGGAGGTGTATGTTGGCTTGCAAATGTCTACAATATTAAGTTTGCATAGTTGTTTTTTAAAATAACTGAAGAAATCAGGAGCACAACCCACACTTAGTAAAGGAGCAGAAATTTGCTATGAAGACTTGTGTAATTTCCTGCATGCAAGTGTTATAGTGACAGTAGGATTCTGGCCAACGTTTTATATAATGAGCAAATTAATCATTCCCTGGTGATGCTGTGGATGACATTGTGGGGTCTTACAATGTCCAGAGTAGGTGAGAGGATAGAGCTGGCATTTGTATGTCACACAATCTGATGTTTGCATTGTATTTTTATTGTGTACTCTGTTACATTAAGACCTCTCTACTTATTTTTTGCAATTACGTAGCCTATGTAAACTTGTTCGTGATCTTCTTCTCATAAACATTAATATCTGAAAAACACTTGATGATTATTAACCGTGTTTGGCAATGAAGTGAATTCTTACATTTCCTAGAATTAGACTAGATTGTAAATACCAGTTAATGTACGTTGAATACCACTGTATTGGTGCAAAGCCTTGCTGTCCTTGTTACAGATTGGAACTATCAGCTGTTGTCCTTAACAAGGCAGTACTACACATATCTGGTCAGAAATGCTTCCTGCTCAGTAGTTAAGTGCCACTTTAGGTGTACACGTTAAGGTTGCAGTCCTTCTTCCACTTACCTAGAAAGAAAACCCGTTGAACTCAGGATTGAGCTGCAAGAGTACCAAGGTTATTCTCTTGCTGTAATCATTTAGCCCGTGAGGCTAGCAAGTCCTGCCACTAGGTTATTTCTTGCAGCTCTTCGGCTCCACGTATCAAGCTTTAATGGATTTTTGAGTCTAATCTTGTGGTTTATGGCTTTTGCAACATGCAGAGAAATAAGTCTGAATATTGTAGCTTGATTGAGGAGCCCCTGGAGCTAATGGGGTTGGAGATATGAGAAAGCATCTTGGATATAATTCCTTTTTTAAAAATTGCATATGCTAGGAAGCCCCACCACTTTTTGCAACCTGAAAATGCACCTCGTGGGCATGTACCAGTTCTGTTGTTTGAAGTGGAAGGTTTCTTTGTTCCAAACCTAAAGGTTTTACTGAAAGCATGTGTTGAACATATGCACCTGCTTTTCTTTTTGGTTGTTCCATGGTTGTGTTTTATTGAGGAAAAGGAAAAAAAGGGGGGGGTAGAGGGAGCCATTGTTTCCTGCCTGTGTTCATACATATATTCATGAATCAGTCCTAGGCATACAAGCAGTCCCTGGGGAACATTCAGGCACATAGAAGCTGGGAGGCTGTCCTTATAACCAGGAGTGAATTTTTTTTATCTGCCTGAACACTTCTGTTTGCAGGTGACACTAAGATGGTAGAGCTCCAGGGATTAAGTAATTTTGGATTACTACTGCTAGGAATGCCCCCATAGTGAAGGGGATGATGACTTTGTGACAGTTTTGTCATATGATTTAAAGGAGGTAGGGGGAGTGACAGATGAAGAACTCAAGGGGTTTCAGCAGCCGCTTGATTCCTAGGATATGTTTAAATTGTTTTACTCCAGTGCTTGCTTTCGATATGGTAAGATACTTGTTCTGCATTAATTTTGCAAAATAATACAACAGATAAGGCATGTTAAAGTTGCTATCTGTTTTAACTCATGTTTTGAGCTGCCTTAGAGCCTGCATTGAGATAGGGGTAAAATAAAAAAAAAAGAACAAGATACACAGGCGAACTGCTGTCGTCTTTAAAGAAGGAAAGGAGGCTCAGCTACTAAACTATACTGCTTTTAAAATATGTGGGATGGGCAGAATGAGGATGGCAGCCTCTGGGCCTTCAGGAATCCACAAGATTAAAAAGCAGTGAGGTTGATGAACTGCTCTGAAGAATTCACCACTTCTGCCACTTGCTGCTGTGATCTCTGTAATCACTGGCCGCTCCCTGTGTAACCCCTGAAGCTGGTGGGATCCCAGCACTTTCTCCCTGCTGCCCAACTAATGAGAGGAGGAAAGTATTGATTTGTGAGCTCCATAAATGGTCTTTTTCTGCCACTGGGAGTGGCAAGAAAATATAGTGCAGATGGTTTAGAGCCAGAGGAGTATCTATCTTCCCCTCCTCGTAGAGCTGAAAATACAAGGCATTCTTTTTTACAATATTGGTGGATGGGTGCACAACTAGATCCAGAGAACAGAGAGGGTTTATCTACAGGAAGGAATAATTGGCAGCATTTGGCATTGTAGAACATTTTTAGAGACCTTTGCCATAATTTGTAAAGGATTTGTCTGGTGTCAAGAGGCTGTTTTATCAAGAGGTGTAAAGTTCAGTGCAAAAAGTAATTAGGAGTTTGTAGCATCCTGCAATGCAGATTGATTGCTACACTATCATTAGTCATTTAATGATGGACATGTGACCTCTACAACATCTTTGTTATAATTTTTTGTCTGGCGCAGTAGATGCTAATTGTTGCTGAGTCATGAAATCTTCCTGATTCCTTGGTTGTAGTGAGTTTACTGCAAATATGGGATGCCCGCTGTGAGGAGAGACCCTCTAGAGCAGGCCAGGTTTAATTTTTAACTTTTCCAGACCATGGAAAGGTTCACTGGCCATGCTGGCTAAGCGTTATGGGAGCTGTAGTCTAAAAGAAGAAATGTTTCCAGACCTTGAACTTTTCTCCAGCAGTAATTAGACAGGTAATCATGGAAAGTGACATGATGGACATGAAAGTAACTATTTTCCCCTGTGGTTTTCCTCCAGTAATTGGCATACTGTCCTGTCACACATGCAGGCTCTAATTGTTGTTGATAGACTGGTCTGCCCCATGAATTCGCCTGCTCACTTCCTTCTCTGTTCCCTTCCTAAAGCATTCTAAGCCAGTGGCCATCTCTGCAGTCTCTATATTCCATATATTCTGATGGATGTGAGGTTCTTTCTTCCTTTTACGTGCGCCTACTGGCTGCCAAGTGAGATTGGACCATTGAGATATGTTAGTGTTGTGGGACAGGGAGAAAGAAAATTGGCCACATTTTATAAGCTTCTATTGTATGCTTGCCATACGTGATGATGGTCTGCTGATTCTGGGCAGACCGAAGGCCTTCACAAAGGAATCACATACTTCAGCCATTCCTTCTATGGCAGGGCCTCCAAGCCTATGTGGTCTCAGGGTTTTGCACCCTTTACAGCTCTCACATCCTTCTCCACAGTATTGTATAGCCTGCTGCTGTTCTGTGTGCCTGCCTTGGTTATCGTTATTTAAAATAAATAGTATTGTAAAGTTGTGTTTAGCTGTTTTGGGGGACCTTGTGGAGCTCTAAAATGGCTGGGATAAATCAAATAAAAAGGACTACATTTTCTCAAATACAGTGGCAAAATACCTCTAAGTTTATATTTTAACTGGGAGATAACTGTTTTATTATAAGCTTTTTGCAGGTAGCCATTCTAGCTCTCTACAAGGCTGTGTTTTTTTTTAAAACAGGAGACAGAGAAGTTCTTATCTTCTAGTTTCCTTTTTTGTGGTGGCAATACCATGGACTACGCGACAGACGTTAAAGACAGGGAAGGAAAGGCTGTGATTTGGGGAAGTGTTCATCAGCCTTTTGAGTTCGCTTTTGTTTTATTCTTTGCATATGATGGTAGAGAGAGCACAAAGGGATGTGGTGTTCTTTATACATCTTGTAAAATCAGTAGTGAGCTACGCTTGATCACACAATTTTTTTCTCTTGCTTTCCCCACCAGCCCTTTGAAAAGGTCTATTAAATTTTTGGATAGACAGAGGAAATGTCTGCAGATTGAAAAGAATCATTTTAAATATTACGAATAGCTGAGTTTCTCCGTAGACAGTGTGGGTGTTTCATAGCCTAGGTTTATTGGCACATGGATTACTAAGACATTGTCTCCCAGCAGTGATAGGAGAATGTCTTGGTAAGGCTGAGCATTATATGTCTGATGTTCTCAATCTACTCTCAGTACCTGTATTAGAGTCTTTGTATGCCAGCTGCTGGACAAGGTAAGACAGAGAAGGAGCCGTTGCTGTCCTTCTCTCTCTCTCTCTCTCTGTGTGTGTGTGTGTGTGTGTGAGAGAGAGAGAGAGAGGAAAAGACACTAGCACTCCACCAGATGGGGGTAAAGTGCAGGAGAGGCATGCCAACACATATAGCCAGTGTTCTCACATAGCTGCTTAGGTGCATGGCTGCGCCACACTGCATCAGTGCCACGTGCACACAGCCAGTGTTGCTGCCCATTGGGTTCCAGTCATGTGTGGAACCTGCCACGTGTGGGTTGGGATGGGGCTTGCACTCCGTGCTGGCTGAAAATTAGAGGAAACATTGCACACAGCTGCATATATTTGGGGTTTAGGAGGGAGGTTAAAGGGTTGCTCCAAAGAGTTCACAGGAAAAGTTAGAATTGTGGATTTTTCCCAGTCAGGAGAGACCAGCTACTGCCATGAGGATGAGAAATCAATTTTTTAAAGAATATAGTTTCTTTGAACAATGGTTGTTAGAGATTTTGAGAAGGATGGATTCTTGAAGGAAGCCGTAGCTTGTCTTTTTTTCTTTCCAGGCCTATAGGACAGGGCTGTGGCACGCCCATCTTCAGAAGCCCTTCTTGCCTCTGTTGGTTGTTGTAAATAAGAGTGGAAGGGGACGCATTCTCAGGATCAGAAATGAGCAGGAGAAGGATTTCCATTCACATGCCCAGAGAATGCTAAATATTTTCTCCAATTTTAGCTTTGTCAGATGTTATTCTAGAGTTTTCATCAACCTTCATGGGTAATACGTGCCTTACGCCTTTCCCCAGAAATAAGTGGAAGACTTAATGAAAGGGTCTCTTCCCTTTTCTTTTCCTAGATCTTTCCAAGAACAGATTTACTGAAATTCCTCCTGAAGTGTGGCAGTTTGCTCCACTTGAGACATTGAACTTGTATCACAACTGCATCAAATCTATCCCTGAAGCAATTAAAAACCTACAGATGTTAACATATCTCAATATCAGGTGAGTAATTGTTATTGCCATCTATGCATAATAACTTGGTGTCCAAGGTAGCCTTTCAGCTCATCAGAATGTCAGTCATCCCCCTCCCTCCCACCTTTCTCTGGGGGAAATTGACTGGAGAAGTATTTTGCAGTCTGTAAATTATAGAAGCTACCAAATGGTAACTCTTCAGGGAAGTCTTAATTTTCCCCCCTGGTATTCTTTTTTCAGATTATGATGTTTGAAAGGTGCAGGTAAAGGTTTGCAATTATTTTAGTTTCAGCTACTAGGAGTTCAACTAATGCTGAAAGAGCTTTGCTGATCCTGCATGCCTGTGGGGCAAAAATGGCTTGACTGACTACAGCACTGGAGAAACAATTACATTTTCTGACAGAAAGGAATGTTGGTGTGCTGTGTGAGCATTATGTCTACTACCTTCACTGGATGTCCCCTTTTTGGCTTGGGAGAGAATACTGGCAACTTTGCACATGATGGCTTTTCCTGCATTAGTGGTGGTGGGGAAGTGTTATATCTGAAGAAATAATGAGTTTCCCTCTTGCCCAATGCCTCTGCATTTACATGGCAAAATGGGAATATGGTAATCGTATGCTCCTCCTCCAAAGCATACTTCTGTAGGAAAACCATTCTTAATAATGTGGCCTTCTGGTGTTGCAGAACCTGGAACGTCTTGTTGGCTTTTAAAAACAGTGTCTTCTTATAGCTGGCTCTTGTAAGCTTTTTGAAATGGAATGACCAGTATCTCTCATTAGCGTGTCAGTTGTCCTTCTAACTTTAAAATCTCATCTGTACCATTTAGAAAGAAGTTTTCCTAATTCTGCACATCCAGTTTGTGGCAACTTGTTTTGAAGGAACAGGTTGTTGTACTGAAGGAACTGTTAGGCAGGATCCATTCAACCCACTGGGGGATCTCAGTGTTAAAACCAGAGCAGCATACAAAAGAGACTAACGGGTGCTGAAGATGTACAAATGGAGGAAAGAGTGGTGGGGGCCAGGTATGGCGGAAGATTGCAGGGAACTATAACTATCCTTTGCTTTATAAACATGTCAGGGAGAAGGAAATAATTTGTTCATTCTGTTTTCAGAGGAGAGAGCAACCAGACAGACTGACAGAGATTTTAATTTGCTGTTGTTATCAGGAAAGGATTCCTAACTCCTCAGATAAGCCCAGTAATGAAAGAGCCTGTAGAGGGGGGTCTTGTGAAATCTCCTTTGGATGACTTTGACACATGGGAGAGAAGTTCCCATCTGGAGTGGTTTTAGGATGATCAGCTGGTAGTTAGCTACCCGCTAAGTCCTTTTAACCACTGCCCCTCAGGATCTTACAGAACCACCCAAAGGGAAGTTGTGCTTCCAGGTTCATTTTGCTTCTGATCTGATCAGGAACTACAGTGGTTTTATAGCTGCTTTGTGTGCAGAAATCCTCCACCACCAGTCTCAGCGTATTGGCCTCTTTTGGATGAATAAAATGGAAGATTTTATATCTGAAATACCATGCCATGTTGTCAGATATTCACATTCTTTATAAGTCAGCAAATCCCATCAGGTGATTGTCTTTCTTTCTTTCTTTCTTTCTTTCTTTCTTTTGGAAATAGAGTGTTGTAGCTTGTATCTTTCTTTCTTTTTCTTTCTTTTTTTTGGAAATAGAGTGTTGTAGCTTGTAACTAATGAACTGGAAAGATAATACATAAAGAAGGTGTGAAATCTTCGTTTGTGCTTTGGCTGTCTCCCAGCCTCAAGCCACAAGTCAGAATAAATTAGTAAAATGAAATTTCAGGTCACGATTCAAATTTGTTGGAAGTTTTTGCTTTGAATTTTAATAGAAAGAGCAGTTATGGCATGAAGGCATTGTATCACCTGATAACTATTATTTCCTGTATAAGGAATTTACCCAGAAGTAAAAATATTGTCACTTTAGGAGAAGATGTCTTGGTTTTAAGGAACCTGTGTATCTGAAAATGTAAACAATGAGAACAGTTATCTATTAATCATGTACTTTTTTGCCCCTTTCTAGTCGAAATCTGTTATCAACGTTGCCAAAATATCTGTTTGATCTGCCACTTAAAGTTTTGCTTGTCAGCAATAATAAGCTCATGTCCATTCCTGAAGAGATTGGAAAGTTGAAAGATCTAATGGAATTGGTGAGTTTCCTTGCCTCCCACCCCTTCCATGTTTCTGCCATTTAGATGTCTGATTGGGAGTTTGATTCCCCACTGTGCCTTGTAGGAGTGAGTAGTCAGCCTGCATAACCTTGGGTAAACTGCACAGTGTCAGGGCGCACCCAGAAGGAGGGAGTGGACACCTGCCTCTGAGTGTTTGCTTAGAAGCCTCTGGATGGGGTCATCATAAGTTGTATTGAATTGATGGCATGTAATTATCATTGTTAATAATTAAAGTTATTAAACTTTAATTAAAGTTACCTTTGCTTTAAATAATTTTAACCTGCAGCTTGTCTTCAGCTCCAACTTCATGCGCAGTGAGTCCAACCACAGGCAGTACAAAAGAGCAAAAATTACCCCTTCACTATCCAGTTATTTTAGGGCAGGAGTTCAGAAAGTCTTATTTTCTTGAACTGGGTAGTCCTTGTCATAACGTTGAACCCTCCAGATTTAGGAAAAAGACATTTCCCCACCCTAGTTTCTACCTGTCTACTCATATCTTTACTCTCACATCATGCTAGTGTCATCTTGTATGAGCAGAATTCTAACTTATTTGATTATTTGGGTTGAGAAATACACCTTTTAAAAAAGGAAAGCCCAAATCTTATTTCTTGTGTTATGACATGTCCTTCCCCTTCTCCCTTTTTTACAGTCTCTAATTCATTTAATGCTTCTGTTTAAAAGGAAAAGCTTGAGATCTTTCCTGTTACAACACACCTGTTTCCTTAAGCCATCTTTCAAAGCTGCTTTCAGCCAAGGGATCTGGCATTTTGACACCTTGTCTCTTTGCTTAGGATATTAGCTGCAATGAGATCCAGGTCCTTCCCCAGCAAATAGGAAAACTGCAGTCACTCAAAGAATTAAATGTAAGAAGAAATAATCTCCATATGTTGCCTGATGGTAAGCTTCTACCCACCACCCTCTTTTAGCCTCCTTATAATTCATTTAAAGCGGGGGGGGGGATTTAGGAGTGTCTGGGGCCTAACTGCCCACCTCTGGGATCCTAAAGGTAAGGCCTGGTGGGGGGGGGGAGAGAATTGGAAAATGATTATTTTGGGTTTCTGAAATTTCACTCTTTTGGGGGGGGGTCCAAAAGACTAAGAAAGGTGCATTGGATGGGTCTCCATCCCATTTAATAGGGAAATCAGAACTTCAGAAATTTTTAGGAGGAGAAAAGGGCATCCCCCAAAGCAGGTGTCTTGACGGGCCCCATGACCGCAAAAATGGCTTTAGAAGAGTGCATGTCTGCAGTGGGGCTCATTTTACCTTCTCCTGATTCAACCCCTGTAAGTATTCTGTGATGCCTGAATCTCTCTGTCCTTCTCTTTTTCTTTTCCACTAACAGAATTGGGAGATCTCCCTTTGGTCAAGCTCGATTTCTCTTGTAACAAAATCACAGAGATACCAGTCTGTTACAGAAAGCTGCGTCACTTGCAAGTAATCATTTTGGATAACAACCCAATGCAGATCCCACCGGCACAGGTTTGATAAAGTCCTTCCTTTATTTAATTATGTTTCCTTTGTCTTGTTTCAAAGTGGGGGGGGTTAGCGTGAGAGACTCATTCGCCCAACTGCCTGTGGAGTAAGGAAACGGGAAGTTCTGGGCAAGAGTTCAATTGTGAAAGCGCCATTTGTACTTGATCACCTCTTTGTGTTCATTTGGATGTATCTCTGGAGAAGCAGTGGGAGCAAGGGCATGTCTCTGTAACTTGGGAAAGGCCAAGTGCTCCAGTTCTGAATAGGCTCCACTAAGGTGGAAGGGGAAATGTAAAGCATTTACATTTTTATCACAGCAAGGACCAGTGTGTGTAGAAAACATTGACAGTTAGCTGTGCAGCTAGATTGCAAGGGACAGACAAACACACAATGTTTTGAGATTACTGTAATTTTTGTAAATTTGTAGCATTTGAGGATTTATTTATATTTTCCTCCCATATGTTTATCAACAGATATGTTTGAAGGGCAGAGTACACATATTTAAGTTCCTCAGCATTCAAGCGTGCCTCAGAATGGATAAAAAGCCAGATTCTTTGGATCTACCCTCCCTGGGCAAAAGGATTCCTTCCCAGCCACTCACAGACAGGTAAAGTTGCCCTCACTTTTCAGAACTATGTAAAAGGAGTGCTTGTCAACTTCTGAAATTCTACCATGGCTTCTCTTTAGGAGCACAGGAAGTGGGATTCGAAGCGAGTTAGGCCCTTGGTTGATCTTGTCCAGTTCTGCTAACCCCTATGGGCAGCTGTGGCTCTCTGGTGTTTTGGGCCGTATTCCCTACTGGTCTCCAGCCCTGTTTAACTTGTGAAATCTGGCAAGATTGAGTGTGGTGTTGTTGCTTCATTGTGGTAATTATGGCGCTGTTAAATGATGGTTATTTCAGTCTTACAATGGCTTTCCCCCAGCTGCTATTCTTTCAGATTTCATGCAGCTCTGTGCAAGATCTGCTTGCATTGAGTCATTTCCGTTAATAATTCAAGCATAATGGCAATTGCACATTCTGTTAGACTGTGTGTGGTGAAGAACCATTTATAGTTGCCGTACATCAAACCTTTTAAACTTTTCTGTCCCCTTCCTGTCCACAGCAGTCCCCTGTGTGTGCAGCAAAAAGTCAGCATAGTTCATAGGAATGGGGAAAAGCTTGTTTGATCCTCAGGTGTCAGTGAGAGGAGATCTGGCTACCTTTTCCAGTTTAATTTAATGACTTTGTCATGAGGCCCAGTTGGTCAAGACTCTGTTTGGTTTAAATCATGATTTATTGGAACAAGCCTAGATTGGAATCGAAATGTCCAGTCTTTTGTACTTCTTGCATCTGGATGGGAAGAGGAGGACTTGTGGCTGTATGTAGAGTTGAATTAGTGGCCCTTTATTAAAAACAAATCATTTGTTAAATAATGAATTGCATTGCGTTTATGGACTGGATAACCGTGTCTGGATAATAAAGAATTCGGGTTTTATATAAGTTCATATGTAAGTTAAAGAAAGATACATATTCAGGGCAGCGGTAGTTTGCCAAAGAAATTCGCCGTAGTATATTGTAAGGCAAGTGGAATGCAGGTAGAGCAAACTGACAAGAACAGAGAAAATCTTCTCACCACTGATATGAAAACAAAGAACAGAAAGCGTTCATCGTGTATAAATTTTAGTCTCCCTGCTTTGTGGGCTCTGTGACAACTTTCAGGTTAGGGCTGGAATCCTTTTGAATTTCCCCATGTGTGGAAGGGCAGTCCGGTAAACAGTTCCACTGATTTTCTGTCTGTATTTGATGGTGATACCTGGGCACAGCTTGGTGCATGATTGGCAACCAAAAAGGTAGCTAGTGCCACATGCGCCCCCTTGCCCTTCCCCAGTGGCATCTTGTAATATTAAAATCCTGTTGCGTAGCATCGAAAGCTGCAACTGGCCCGGGTCTGTTAAATGAGTGGAACTCACAGAGAAGTTGACTCCCCAAGTCCCCATTGATTTCATGGGCCTACTTTAGTTGCCACTTACTGTGGTAAGTCATGGGATCTCAGATACACTTTGTTTATAGAGCAGGCGCTCCTTTGCTTTCTCTCTTCATCCATACGTGTCCGTCTAGATGAGGATGAGAAAAATTAAATTTGTATACTCTGCCATCTAGTGGCACACCACAACTCTGAGCCGTTTCCAACATAATATAACACATACAAATAAGCATGTACCCCCACCCAACGCACAGAAATATAGCAACAATCCCTATCAAACCTGAGATGGTGATGACAAAGTCAGGGGGGAAAATCAACATATAACCTAAAATCAGCAGTTATGATATCTTGAAATGCTTCTCTAAAAAGGAGGTTTTTTTAATGCTTTCTGAATATTGGGAGGAAAAGGAGGGCCTGGCACATCTCCACTGAGAGATGGTGAACATGTGTGCTAAGCCATGTTGCTGAGAATAATGCTGGTGACTCCTTGCCTACAAGCTTGTGAGTCTGTCTTTTTTTTGGCTGTGAAGGAGTAGAGTCTGCCAGAGAATCATACTGTGCTAAAAGCGTGATGAACCTGTGAAACCAAAGGAGTGGCTTTCTATTAGGCTTTCTTTCGGGCAGAACACTCACACTCACTGTTTGAAGATGTCCTTGAGTCAGAGTCGGCAGGCAGCACATTCCCTTCTACCTCGGTCTTCTGTCTTCACCCAGCAGCACAAAACAGGACTTCCCTTTCAGTAGTAAAATCTCTACACTCATCCATCTTCAAGAGAAGAGGCTTGCTGTGTTTGGAGGATTGCTCCTTATCATTTAAAAAAAACACCCAATACCTGCCTCAGGGCATTTGTCCCAATAAGGTTCTTCTTCATTACAGTATGGAAGATTTCTATCCCAATAAAAACCACGGCCCAGACTCTGGCATTGGTAGCGATAACGGGGATAAAAGATTATCCACAACAGAAGTAAGTCTGCCCTTTTTTCATTCGCTCAGCAGAAAGTGGTGGAAGAGGCAGTTGGCTTTTTGTTTCTTTTTGCTTTTTTGTTTGTTTTGTACATGTTTTGCTTTATGTTGCCTCAGAAAGTTTGACCACAGTACATGTTCCACTTCCTTCTGTCAAATATAAGTTTAAAATTGCTCCGAGGTACAATAAGATGGCTTACATGCTTTGTTACTTTGTCCTTAATACCAGCATTCTGAAGCTTGACTTTTACCACTTTGTTTAATAAACAGGCCTCTTACAGTCAACCCTCGACTTACAAACTTAATCTGTTCTGGAAGGAAGTTTGTAAGTCGAAAAGTTTGTAACTCGAATCAGCCCATAGGAATTCATTCAAAACCAGTTAATCTGTTCCAGCTGTTTTTGGTTCTTAGGTCGAGGGGCGGTTTGTAACGCGAATCATTAGTTCCCATAGGAACTAATGCAAAGCCAGTTAATCCGTTCCTACCACTAGGGGCAGAATTTTTTCTCTTTTTTTTCCTTTTAACCTAAGATGACTTAGGTTTTAAAAAAAGGAAAGAAAAGAGGGAGGGAAGGAGGGAACAGACGCCTTTTCAACAGAACACCTTGAAAAGCGCCTTTTCAGGCAAGACAAGCACCTTTTGGAAAAAACCAAGCACCCTTCAGACAACATAACACCTTGAAAAGCACCTTTTCAATCACGACAAGCACCTTTTGGGGAAAGAGGCAGCAGCAAAGGAGGGAGGGAACACCTTTTAAACAAAGCACCTTTCAAGACCCATCAGAAAATAGAAACACAACCCCCTCCACAGCATGGCACAGAAACCAGCAACCATTCCGCAGCACAAAAAGACTCTGGATCCACATTTTAAGCACAGGCACAGACATTTTAAAACAATGCAAGACCCCCACCTAGCCCTGCCCCCCCCCACCAAGCTGCAAAAAACCCTGTACAGTACAAGTAAAGTAAAAACATACAGTGTACTCACCCAGAACAGGCAGTCTCTGTGCTTAAAAAAAGAATGTCAAAAATCCAAAAAAAAAAAAGCCAAAAATTAAAAATACAATCCGTACAGCACTGTACCAGGCAATACCAGGCAGTCTGAAGACTCCAAATCCACTCACAAAATGCTGGGAAGCAGATAGGCACCCTCTTCACTGACCAATGATTAAGTGAAAGTTCAAATTTTGCGTTTTCCCTGCCTCCCACACTGAAAGTTCAAATTTTGCGTTTTCCCCGCCTCCCACACGGGTTTTTTGGTTCGTAACGAATCTAAGTTCGCAAGCCGAGTCCATATTTTCCTATGAGAGGAAATGTTCATAACTAGGGCCGTTCATAAGTCGAGGGTTGACTATATTAGGTACCTTGAGATGAAATACATATTAGGGCCATTCGTAAGTTGAGGGTTGACTATATTAGGTACCTTGAAATGAAATACATCTCTTACAAACTCAAGGCGGTAAAACAAATCACTCTAAAGTGTCCATGTGTGAACGTTGAGCAAACAGAACTAGTACATGTGGTGGCGTGTGATGCTTTTGGCATTAACACTTGGAAGAGAGCCTGAGTTTCTCTGTTGGATGAGCCATAGAGTCAAAGGGTATGGGAACTGACCTATAGAGTATGTGTAAGCCTGTCATCCAGAGCCATACCCTTCCCCCTGCTCTCTGCTGGTGAGGATTGGGAGGATTGTTTTCTGATGCAAGGTTTAGCAGAACAACAAGTAGAATATGCAGGTTATACTCTTAACTGCTTTTTTCAGCCATCTGATGATGACACAATCAGCCTTCACTCTCAGGTATCGGAATCTACAAGGGAGCAGACGCTCAGAAACGACAATCAGTTACTAGGAAACAAACCTGAACTTCATAAAGGTGAATCCTAACCTCTGCCAGGCTAGAATATGGAGTTTCTCATTGTGACAAAACTGGGAATTCTCATTCAGTGGTTTACAGTGAGGGAGTATGACAAACCATAGTTTATCTCAGCATACTACCGTTTAAAATAGAAACAGGGACTGTTTGTCAGGCATAAGGCCAAGTAGTGGTTAGTTTAAAAAGAGAAGTGTCTCCGTTTCAGGTCTATAGACCAACCCTGACACTATAAAAATTGGTTTTTACAGTGCCAGGGTTGGTCTATAGACCTGAAAATGGGTGGGCAACTTTGGCAAGCCCAGATACCAAACCTTTGTCACTCAAGGCTCACTAGAAGGCCTGTGTGTCCAGAAAACAAGAACAATAAATTAAAACGAACCAGTGCCTGGACTGCGACCATTTAGTTTATTTTTTAAGTTGGTGGTTGCTTGAGGAACCCATAAGTCTGATTTGGGCAAAAAATGCTGCATGCAAAAAAAAAAGCTATATAAATATATTGATCGTGGGGTGTGTGGCTTTCAGGTGGCATGGGAGATTTCAGAAATGACTTTGGATATCCTATCGGGACGTGGGCTGTAATTTGTCCACCCCTGTCCTGAGCTGTGGTTCAGGGTTGTCGGACTGGTACTGGAAGCACAATAGTGTCCTTGTGTTAATCACAGTCTTGGCCTCATTTGAACATCATTATGTAATGAACAAGATGGCAGCTTGGTTTGGCTTGGCTGCTGTTTGTCTTTACAGAGGAGTCCTGTGTTGCCACGATCCTTTTGGGAAGTGGGGTGGTTTGTTTATGTTGAGGGGAAAGGGAGTGTGTAAAATATGCATACTCTTTCCTACATGGACTCTCAGGGGATGGGTGTGTTTATAAGAAGGATGAGGAAGGTGTGGGCCTCCAGAGGTTGCTGTCCAGCAAGCTCCTTCAGAGCTAGCATGGCTGAGAGTTAGAAAGGTCCTCTCATCATTTGGAGGCTCACACATTCCCCATAGTTAGCCAATTTTCTTAATTTAAACTTTAAATCTTCTCTGTCTGACCCCGTTCCTACTGTCTTCGCTCTTAATCAATAGACCCAGAGGTGTGTGATTACCTTGATCCCAGTTCCGAGGATGTGGCTTCCTGTGACCAAGGAGATATGCAAACTGGGCCATCAATCTCTTATAATAAGGTGGCAACATTTTAAAAGTATATTGTTAGCAAATCTAGTATTCTTCCAGTGGTAAAGTTCACTAATGTGGACCCTTTCACTCCTTTTCTTTTCCTCCTCCCCATATACTCTTAATCGGTAAGGAACGAGGGAAGCTGACCGAGAAGTCTCAGAAGACGGAACCGCATGAAGACCGGATGGATGAAAAGAGGTGGGTCTCTTGGCTTGACTTCCGAGGGATTCTACGATGGGAGATGGGAGAGAGAGAGGGCATCTCTTTTATTCCTTTCCAACAGTTGTGTTGTTTGGCATCCTTGCATGACTAATAAAGAACATAAATATTGGTGTAAAATTTTAGGGTTCAGAAAGAACAAGTACTGGCAGAGGAAGATGATGAATTAAAAGAAGTAACCGACCTGCGGAAAATAGCTGCCCAGCTACTGCAGCAGGAACAGAAGAACAGGTATGTAGTTCATAAATTACATCCATCAGTGATTCTCCATATGTGTTTCACTTGCGTTTTATGTAGAGACAGTATTTTAAATTTGTGTGGTAAATAGTATGTGTGCACTGGAATTTATGGACAAAATCAGTTAGGCATTTGAGATTTGGAATCATTTAGGTCTAATTTATCCACTTTAAAATGGGTAGATTAAGCAGTGATTTTTTGCATTCAAATTAAAATAAGAACAACACATTTTCAACTGATTGCGACTGTCTTCCTTTATTTAGAGTTAGCTACTGAGTGAGAATAAATGACCTATTTTTAAATATAATTTATATATACATTAGAATTTGAAAAGTTGCTGCATAAGACATGTAAACATTTCCAGTGTGCTTTTTAAAAGTCTGATTGTGGAAAATCCTCCAGTTCTTGCCCGCTGCCCCCAGAAAACTCCGCAGTGCACAGTTCGACCTGTTGAGCATTTTGCTATTTTAACTCAGTTTAAAACTATCCTCTATCCTTTCTGCTTACTGTACTAATGGACTTTCCCTATCCTTTCCTGTCCCTTTCTACTGCTTCCTTCCCCCACCTTTGGGGTTTGGTGTACATGACATATGAATTCAGACGGAGGCCATTAAGCTATAGAACTTCATTCAGTGAAAAGCTTTTCCAGAGGACCAGGGTTGCAGGACGCGCATCCAGGTATTCAGTGTTTCCAGTGCATGATTGTCACATGGTGGCAGCAGTGTGACACACACTGACATTGTTTCCGGCAGCCGTCTTGCTATGGTGGCGAAGAGGTATTTGAGAGGAGGGGATTAGAGTACATTTTATCCAAACTGAAGGCAGGCATGTAGTGGGGAAAGGTGTTGAATTGTGACAAGGAAGGAAACACGAATAGTGCAAACTCACCCAGCCTTTGATTTTGATTTTTCTTTAAGGTACTATATGCCGAAAAAGGAAAAAAAGTTTTCTGAGACTCAAGTTTCATTTATTGTCTTTGCCCTGAAAAGATTAACATGGCTTATCTTCCTGAAAATTACATGCTGACCTTCATCAGGGTTGACTTTAGGACTAGTTATAACTAATCTATGAGAACTGTGTGGAGATAGACAAACAAACAGTGAAAAAAGGAAGAAAATCTAACGTAGACCAAAAAATAATATTCCTGAGGAAGGCCGTAAATTCAGGCCGAAATGCGTTGGGCATTTATAGATAGAAATGAGGTATTATATTTTCTTGCATCCTGAGGCTTAGGTCTCTCTTTCACACAGGGCTTCTTTTGGCTTCCAGGTCAAATCAAATCCCAGTTTACACAATAAGGGAGGATGCTTTTCAGCTCCTGCCCAGAGTGATGGCAAATAGTGGCTGCTGCCTGTTTTTTCCCTTGACCTTTTCTCTCAAGTTTCCTGTTCAAAACCTCACTTCCTCACTGTTCCTGTCCCATCTGTTCTCTGCTGTCTTCTTTGCTAGCCCTCTGACTAGACTTAATGTTTCATAGTGATTCTCACGTGCCTGCCTCTTTTGGTCCCTTAACCTCTGATCAACGGTTAAAAGCGCTAGGAAATTACCCAAAAAGCCAAGTGGTGTTCTTTGCAAAGGGAGGAGAGCAGCGATCCGATTTCCCCAGCTTTCTTCCCCAGCTGAGTGAGCCTGGAGGCTGTGCTGGCTGGGTGTTTTTGGGAGTTCAGGCCCTGCCCACCTGGAGGCTTTGATGCTGGGGAAGGCGGACAGAGTGAGAAAGCAAGAGTGAGGCGGAGAAGGCTGGGGAATATTTGCCCAAGTTGTCAGTAAACAAACAAAGCACAAACACAAACAAGAAGCTAGTTGAATCTGAGCCATTTCAGAATGTTGTTTTTTTTCCGGGCTTCGAATTACATGCTTTGGTCTTTTGATTTTAGGCTTTTGAATCATTCCACCTCGGCAAGCACGAGAAACCGAACCAAACAGGCTGTGGACTCTGAAAAAAGGTATGAATGGTGTTTGCTTTTGTTTCAGAATAGTCTGGGCGAGACCTTAATGCCTTAGGTTGGGTGAGAAGGATGAAGGTGGTTTGGAAGAACACCGTTCTTTCTCAAAAGCTGCCCCTTAACCTTTCGGGAGCATAAACAGATTCCAAAACTGTGGAGACACAGTTGTACTTTTAGGAATGGGCCTCTGAAATGTGTATTAAAATACCCCGAGCTGTAGATAACATAATAAGTGATGACAGCACTCTTCTTCTTGGCCAGTTTTATCTGAATCTTCTCTGAGGCAGTACTTTAAACTGGTAAGCCTTGTTCTGCCTCCCAGTACTTGAGACAACAATTTATCTTGGCATTAAGTTTTCAGAGGCCTTGAACAAAGCTGATTATTCATTAAAGTTTGCAGTAATGTGTTCTGCTGAAGATGCGTTTCCAGGGTTTCAGCTGACTAAAAGACATGTAATTGTGTTTAAACCATTTTTTTTTTGCTTTGAGAATACACTTCCTGAATTCTTTAACAGAGGCTATGATTAATTATCACTTAGTATACTAGCATTTCTTTGGTGTGAGCTGGCACTGGGCGAGCCCTTTGCCTTGTTTCCTGCTGTCCTTGTTTGGATTTTGAAGTTGCCCACCTTGGTTTTGAATGCCACTTGTGACAGGGGAAGATCCCCGATGTAATTAACACGTGTTTTGCATTTAGCCTTTCAGCCGATGAAGCACACTCTCCATCGTCGCCGTATAGCTGGCAGGTAAGGCACAGAGAGACCAGCGTTGGCCTAGTGAGAGGCTTGCCATACCCAGCAAAAGAGGCTGCAGCTCCGTGCCTTTCTCTGCCTGCGGCTGCTGCCCCAAAAGCTCTCCCTTTGCTTTGGCGGGTGGTTCTCTGCTACCCAGCCTTGGAGGGAGAGGCATGTGACCCTCATGGCTGGAAACAGCAGTCAGTGCTTCCACACCTTTAACCCTGCACTCCATGGCCGAAGAAGGAAAATGCAGGCAGAGCAGCACTACAGTAGGCTAGAATCAGAGCCTGCTTTTTTAAAAAAAGAGAAAAGAATACCTAACAATTTATCTGTGCCACCTGCCTTTTTTGGCTTGGAAGGGACATCTTGGAGCCAGCTTGAAAGAGAAAAGAAGGCAGCCCTTGGTTGAAAGAGGTTCTTCTGCTGGGCTGCGCATGTCTTCCTTCTCTAGCCGTGGTGTGTGGAAGGATGTGGAGGCAGTGCTGCTGCCTCTGGCGTGTGCATAGGGGTGTGTGTGTTTGTAAGTTTGCTTTCCTCTCTAGGGTGATGGCAACACTGATGGAGGGGACCCTTTGCTCCCCAGCTGATGTGGTGTGAGAGCTTGGGCTGTCTCTGAGCACCCCAGCCCTGCTTTTTCAGTTTTTAACTGGTTTGCATGTCTCTCTTGACAGGCTGATTGTATACGTAGTCAAATGTCTTATTGGTAGTCTGGGGCAACAGACAGGATCCTGTTCAGTCCCAGGTAGAATAATACTGATTAAATGAATGAATGGGACATGTTAGGTCAACACATGTGCAAGCTGCACAGACAGATTGAGGCTACTCTAGCTGGGACAAAGAGTTGGGTTTCAAAGCCTTAATGGATTGCCTCTTTACACTGACAAAGCAGCAGCTCCCCGATTCTAAACGAAACCCACATTTTTGACTGGAAGTGCATAAAGCTCATCATAGTTCAGATTTGTAGGTTTCGTGAGCCCTAAATGCGGACTGTAATGCAGGGGAAGAACAAAGGCTAAACTGCAATGAACACGCGGGGTGTGCCCGACTGGGCTTGCTCAAGTGACCTCTTTCCCACTTCAGTCGCTGGAGTATCAGAAGGACCATCCGGACGAGCAGCACTGGCCAGATGTGCAGCCCGTTATCTGGCAGAATGAGGAGAGGAGGCGAAGCAAGCAGATCAGAAGAGAATATTTCAAGGTATGTTCTGATGATAGACACTGAATCACTCTGAAGATGGTGGTGGTGGTCATGGTTTTATAAAGGCATATTCTCTTAGTATAGGATTGGTCTTGCTCTTCAAATGTGAGTGGGAAAGTTACAGTAAAGTGAAAGATAGCTTATTTCGTTACAGTTACACTGATTATTTATACTCTGCATACCTTGAAGTTACATTGATGCCTGTAGTGCTCTGAAATACTGCACTAGAACGTGTACCTGACTCTGTTTGTATGTTAACTTGGTACCTGTGAAGGCTGCTTTTGTTGTGAGCACCAGGAACTAATTATTCAGTTTCACCAAAATACCTCAGCAGTTTCCCAAATGTGGTGCGCCTCTTAAGGCAGATGATCCCTGTCTGCAGGCTTGGAGTCAGGTAGAGATGAGGAGGGAGAGGGGAGGAGAGCAAACAGGAGTTTGCTCCTTCCCTGGCCAGCCTGTGAGGTTTGCACTTTGCTGCCTGAGAGGCAGACTGGTGCTTCTGATCTGTGTCGGCCTTGGGGGGACAAGGCCAGGGTGGGCTACCCTGTGTTTCTCCAGCCCTCACGCAGCAGCCTCCAGGCCTTGCATGCATGCTTGCAAGGAAGAATTATCTCTGTGTTCCAAGTCTCGGATTGTTATCAGAGATCCTGAATCCATTAAGTAGCAATTCCCTTGCAGGGACGTAAAGCCATTCAGTGATCAAATTATTCTTCCAGTTTTTGTCATCTCGCTTAGTTAAGGTGATCTAAAAAGGCTGCAGTGTTCATACCTTATTTTCCTAAATTTCCTATGTACGTGCACCTCAGAATGCAAAACCTGCTACTCTGGAAATAGGTATAGTGTTAATTCAGTGACATTTTCCCATTTTATCTGAGCAGATGGTACAAGAATAGTCTTAACAGGCTGATTTTTAACAGCAGTGGCTGATGCCAGATCCTGTTTTTAAAAAATGAAAGATGGGAGCAGTACTGAAGCAGCAAATAGTTCAAGCTGAAATAAGCCTGCTGAGTAAAAAAGCAGGAGCAAGAGGGGGGGTTGAAGGGAATGGGGTTTCTGAGAATCAAGAGAACTGAACACTGAAACATAAATTCCAGATTGCAGTAAAAGCACCCTTATAACATGAGCTCCGTGTGCTAGGCATCTGGCTCAGAAGCCAAATTCCCCACTGTGCTTACAGGGAGAAAAAGCAACCTGTGTAACCGTAAAGCAGCTGCACAGTCCAAGGGTATACACACACATAAGCCAAATTCCCCACTGTGCTTACAGGGAGAAAAAGCAGCCTGTGTAACCGTAAGGCAGCTGCACAGTCCAAGGGCACACACACACACACACCCTCAGAAGAAGGGACTTTTGAGTACTCTACCTAGAATATCTTAAAAAGGGTTGCCATATGTTGGAATCAGCAGAATGCAGCAGTTATATTATACAATAAGGAATGATAAGCCGAGACCCCACTGTGCTTACAGGGAGAAAAAGCAGCCTGTGTAACCGTAAGGCAGCTGCACAGTCCAAGGGCACACACACACACACACCCTCAGAAGAAGGGACTTTTGAGTACTCTACCTAGAATATCTTAAAAAGGGTTGCCATATGTTGGAATCAGCAGAATGCAGCAGTTATATTATACAATAAGGAATGATAAGCCGAGAAAAGAATGCCAGAATGTGTTTATTTCAATTAAAATAATGATTTTCTCAGTACTAACCAGACAGTGTTTCTGGTAAGGTCCAAAGCAGTTTCTGGGATTCTGCTTCGTATAAAAGAAATGCTGCTTCTGAAAGTTTAAAGCAAAAATTGTTTGCTTTTCAGTACAAGTCTTCTCGGAAGAGTTCAAGCGGAAATGAAAATGATGAGGTAGGGAAGCCAATACTTTAAAACTGTTATCCATTTAACTGACCGTTTGAACTAAGCCTCGATAGCAATCCTGCTATAGACTTGCACCCTACCGTTTCTGAGCCACAGGGATGCTGTCGAAGCTGCTTGTCACTGCCGTACAGTCGGCCTTTGTCTTTGGTTTCTGTGGCGTCTGCTGGTGTTCAGCCTCTGAGAGGTTGGGGCCCGGCTGTTTGGAACAGCACCTTAAGAGAAGCAAACACAGACATCTTTCAGTTGAGGAATTTTTGGCCAGTTCATGGACACACACACACACACACAGCCTGCATGTAGAAGAATGCCAGTGGCAGTTAACAAACGTGGCACCACTTAAGGTCCATATTGCAGATTCAGTGAACTAGAGGTTAACCAGCACTGCCGGTGTATTTCCTGCCCCACTTGCTCATGGCGAGTCTGTCAGGGCCAGTCTCTGGAGCAGTTGGGAGTGCTTTGGGAATGAGTGGTTCCACTGTAGTCAGGAATTGGGGATCCCTCTCCGACCTGCTCCTTTTTAAATGCAGATTTCTAACTTGGCCGAGGAACTCGGAATCTTTTCCAGAGGCATTCTGGGATGGTAGGATGGCCTCAAAATTGAGACCTGGTGTGATAACAGTAGTTGAAGATGAATGGACCAGGACTCGGGAGCCTCTCATTCAAAGACCTTTGTAGCCTTGAGGCATCCTGGAGAGATGCCCATATCCTCTCAGGCTAACCTACCTCACAAGGTTATCGTCAGGACAAAGTGGAGAGGAGGACAGCTCAGTGGGCAGCCTTAAGCTCTTTGGAGGTGAGATAGAGCTGAAATGTAAATATATAAAGGAAATGTCTATTTTTAAATGGTTTTAAAATGGTAGGGAGTCAAGACATAGCCTGCTTCAGAATTGCTGCAGCTCCCAGAAAAACATCTAGTTCTTAATCATGTTAGCATTGCCCCCATTCCCTAAGGCCAAAATATATCCTGGATATCTCAGTTTTAATTGGGTCGGAAAGATTAGGAGAGAAAACTGGCACTTAAAAAAGGTTTTTGAATCAAAAGTGAAGTTCTGTATTTGATCCTTTAAAGGCAGCAGTAGCTGTCTAGGCGTTGGCCACAGTCCAGCACTCAAGTACCTAGAGCATACTTGGAGCCTCTGTTGTTACCTTAATGTATATTACCTTCTTTGCCTGACCGGCTGAATCCTGTCCACCCTTACAGATGGTTTTGCTGGGTTTCATGTGTACTGACAAATTGGCGTTGAAAGTATTTAAGCAGCAAAGTGTTCTGCTTTTGCTAAAATATCTCCCCCACCCCAAAGAGAGAAGCTGAGGCAGCAAAAACAGCACAGGTTCTTGTGACACCTTGAAGACTAACATGTCCTTCTTGGAATAAGCTTCCCGGGGCTGAAGATGCGATCTGCGGTCCAAATTTATGCCAAAAAGCAAACCCTTGTTGGTGTTTAAGGTGTCACAGGACTCTTCACTGTCTTCACTAGATCAAGAGGCGTGTGCTTTCTAGACCATTCCCTGTTCCCTTTGTTGAACCCGGGCATCTTCTGGTGTACCTTATGTCTCCATCCTTTTAGTCCTGTGGCTGTGGCTGTGCATAAGACAACAATACATGTGTGTGCATGCTGATTCATACTCTCATGCCAGATTTTCATTTAAAACCGTGCTTTCATCTTATAATTTCTTTTTCTTTTTTGGTTTCTTTTTAGCAAGACAGTGATCATGCTAATGTGTCTCCACAGTCTCCCGTGTCATCCGAGGTACAAGGAACTCTGTGTGCGCGTGGGTGTGCTTGTGCGTGCCTGTATTTCTAGCCATTGACGTGGCTGCGTGGACCTCATCTGAGACATGTCATCTGTTGAATGTGAAACTGGAGAAGGCTGCATAGCTGTAGTTCTTCTGAAAAATGCCCGTGCATATATTGCACATTTGTTACGGTGTATGCCAGAAGAAGCCAGAAAAATAGGTCCAGGCTGCTAGCAATTTAAGAAGGTCACTTAATTACTGAGAAGTGTGGTAAAACAGATTTTTGAAGAAAAATATTTAAGGCGATGCCTGCTTCCACTTTCCCAAGAAGCAATGTTGTTCCCTTGGCACACAGTCTCCCTGGGCGAAAACTCAAATACTCCATTCCTGGCGATCCCTTTCAGGTGGAAGGTATGCTTCTCAGGAAGTCTTTCTTCTGTCCAGGCGCCTGTTCCCCTCTTGGGACTCACCCAAGTAGGCAAGCTTGGAGGGAGAAAGGGTCCCGAGGTTGCCTGTTCATACCTAGAAGGCAGACATAGGTTTGCAGGTCTTTCTCTCACACCTCTCCAGATACTAGAGGCCAGAGTCCTACTGCTTGTTTCTGCCAGTGTAAGTACAGTGGTGCAGTTCACATTGCGGAATTCCTGCTATTTGATTAGTTGTTGCTCATATTCCCTGTTGCACGCCAGTTGTGTGATGACTCCGCATGTGGCAGAAATACAAGTGGCAGCTGAGAGCAGTTTCCCTTTATTGTCAGGAAGTTGGCACTCGTCACAAGCAAAGAAGCCTCTGCACATTTGCAGCTGTCCTATGTGATGATCTAACATTTCCCCTTTTCTCTCCCTCCCTCAGGATTATGAGAGGATGGATGGCAATTCTCATGGCCCTTTTGGACTTAAACCCAGATCAGGTGAGACATTATTCCATGGTCCAGACTTTCTCAGCTTGGAGACAATAGAGGAATAGGAAGTAGTAGAGGTGGAGTTTTGGTTACAAAGAGAAATGGTTTCTTGATGAAAGAGGAATGAGCCTCTGCTAGCTGATCATATGGGTTTAAATTCTCAAAAAGCTCAAAAACAGTGGTTCCCAACCCTTGGGCCACCAAGTTGTTCTTGTACTGCAGTTCCCAGAAACACTGACAGTGGGTGGCAAAGGCTTCTGGGAACTGCAGTCTGAGAGCACCTGGGTTGCTCTAAGAGACTATTAATTTGCAAAACATCTGTAAGCGAAGGATCGGAGAGGCAGGTGATTGCCACTTGCTCTGCCGAGACTTAATGCAGAGATGTTGGTTTAGTAAAGAATATGCAGAGTTTGAAAAATGCTTTGAAGTTACCCACAATAGTATCACAGAAATTAAAACGGCTAATCAAGGCATTCCAAAGGGCTCTCTGACAGTGAATAGATGAGAGGTGGGTGTTTTAAACTGTAGGTCACAGGGAGCTGTTCCAGATGTGTGCATTCATAAGATGAAAAGGCCTGAGGCTGGGCATATGCACCTTTGAGCACCCGTTTCTTATGCTTGACGGGAGGAGAGGGAGGGCTCATAACTTAGTTCTGGAGTGTGTCTCTCATTGTCTTCAGCATTTCCAGTGGAAAAGTAGTCTTGCATAAGATTTATCACAAGATGAGATACTTGCCCTTTTGCGTTGGCAGAAGTGATGCTTGTGAGCTGAGCCGTCGTCCTTTTTTCAAAAGACCCTTCAAACGTTCCCTCTTCAATTCGCAGCTTTTGGTCGTTCTCGTCAAGATTATAGCACTGCAGACCCTGGATTCACCATGAGAAGGAAAATGGAGCACTTGAGGGAAGAGAGAGAGCAGATAAAGCTGCTGCGCAATGTAATTTCCTTCTGTCTAAAATGGATTCAGGAGGGCAAGGAAACTTCCTCTCTTTTTTTTGCAAAGTAATATTTGTGTCCTGTTCCCTGTTCAAATATGTCTAGTTAATTTATATTGCAAAGATTTGTGGCCCCATTGACACTGGTAGTCTTTCCACCAATGCAGATCGCAAATATTCCATGCATCGTAGTGGCAATCCGTTTGTCAGCTAGTGGCCATCCTTCTGCTGAGAACCCTCTTGATATTTATCTGGGGCAGAATCAAATGGCCAACACGTTTGCTCGCCGCAGGAGCTATAGATGAAGGCTGATCGGCTTGGTAGAACCTGCAAAATCTTGTAGCCCAGTTCTGGAACAACCGTCAAATGGGTTCTGCCAGAGCTTAATATGCTGCTTGGGGCCACATCATAGCTCAGTAAGGTAGCCTTATAGAAATTGGGGGGGAGGGAGAGAAAAGTTACCCATACAAAAATATGAAATGGTTCCCCTTTTAAACTACAGTTACCATGAACATTATCTTGCTTGTATGCTTTCTCTTTGAACCTAACAGAACCTGGAGTCACGGCTGAAGGTCAGCCTGCCTGATGACATTGGGGCGGCCTTAATGGATGGGGTGGTCCTGTGTCATTTGGCCAATCACATAAGACCGCGATCTGTTGCCAGTATTCACGTCCCGTCACCAGCTGTGGTGAGTAGGCGGCCTCTTGGCAAGGCAGATCCGTTGCATTCCTTGACACAGGGCATTACATTAAGTCTCATCCCATTATGGAAATCAAGAGGGCAACCCTTTTTCACTGACAGTTTCAAGCTGTGCTTCTCCTGTCGACAGAGACCTCCTACTGTTGTGAAAATTATATCATAAATTTCAAGGTTGTTTTTTTTGGGGGGTGGTGGTGGTTAAACTTGAGTAATAACAGCCAGCCTCTGTATCTCTTTGACAGCCTAAACTCAGTATGGCCAAATGCCGAAGAAATGTGGAAAACTTCCTCGATGCTTGTAAAAAACTGGGTGTCCCGCAGGTAAGCTGCTAAAATACCTTTCTAACCATAGTGGCCAGTAAGGCTAGCATAGTCTTGCAGAACCCATTAAGTAATAGAAGGCCTCTTCAGTTTTGGCATGAAGGAGCACGAGAGGCCATTTTCAGAGGAAGAGAGTGCGCTCTAAGCTGCTATTGCCACCCTGCTCCCTGCCATGGGAATTAGTGAAGGGTCAAAGGAAGGAAAATTGTCCTTATCACTCATGACAGCCCAGTGTCATCAGAAGGGCTGCAATTTTGCCCAGCGCTTCTTCAGAGCATGGTAATGCCGAGGGGCTCCTGTTTGCAGAAAACGGCCCAGTTGTGTTCAATGGGTTGCTTGTACAATTATGTTGGAAACCACTCCCGAGTGCCCTTGAGCCCTCGAGGGGGCGGTCTGTAAGTCAAATCAACAGCCACGGCAGCAGCAGCAGCATGTGGTTAAGGTAAACTGCAGCAGCTCGTGGGTAGTTGCTTGTCCCCCAGGCCCACCCTCTTGCACTCCCACTCAGGGGGAGCAGGGGAGGGTTGTAATTGTGAGGACGGGGATGCTCGTTGCCCCGAAAGACTAAAAATCCTTTCCTTTCCCAGGAAAAACTTTGCCTGCCCCACCATATTTTGGAAGAGAGGGGCCTTGTCAAAGTTGGACTTACCGTGCAGGCTCTTCTTGAGATACCTTCCTCGAAAGCCTCGCAGCTTTCCTGCCTGTGACAGAACTCTCTCCGATGGCCCAGGCGTGCGGGCCCTCTCGACCGATCCCAGCCAGTCCAGCTCTCTCCCAAGAACACCCCAAGCTATCAGACGTGGTCACAGGCCAGATATTTCAGACTGAGCCTTAACTGTGGACAGAAACGTCATGTCAAACTGACCATTCTCGGGCCTAGTAACAGATTGTACTGCTTGCTTATTTAACTCAGAGCCATAAGAGATTTTGAGAACATCAGTCTCTCTTCCCAGGTCGTATTCCTTCTCAGTTCTCCCATTAATCTTTCATGATGTCGTCTTTATTTTCCAAAAAACAAATACCACTTTTTCCCCTGCACTGTACTGTGTTCAGCTTTCTCCTAAGTTTGCAGCACACGTTTTATAAGGAGAGACCAAGAGGTCACTTTAGTGATGCCGGGAGGGCAGAGGATCCCTTATGAGGGGTCCGTTCCGTGACGGCAATGCAGACGTCTTGAAAACCATGCCTCCTTCTCTCTCTCTCTCTCTTTCATGCACAGTACAGCTTTAGGATGTGTGCAGTGAGACACACTCAAAATGTCGTCTGTAAAGCTCTTAAGTTAGATTTCCCCGAAAGCTAAATTCGTATCATTTTATGTACGTTTGGAAAGAAAAAGAAACACTACAACATTGTGGCAAAATCTGGATGATTGATCATGTAGCTAACTTTTTCCCACTTTCCCCAAGTTTGTACACTTAATTTCTTGCACTTCTTAACTCCTGTGCCATCTCCATATTATAGCTGAGTATGTGGTGACAACGGCAGAATAGTATACAGTATAAGGACAAGCCGTGTGGGTTTTTTCAGTATTCTAGGTTGGTGCCAAAATATTTTTTTTTCAGTTGTACTGTAGATTGTTTACATGTGAAGTGCCTGTGTAATGGACAACTCTTTTACTAGTCTTAAACATTTTTGCAATTCCTTTATGACTCAATAGATACAAATGCATATTTTTAAATATTAGGGGTTTTTTTGTAAGGTTGGTAATATGTGAAGTTTAAAAGACTAACATCTTGTGTGTTGGATGTTCTTCAGTTTGCACAGTTTGAATTTATTAGGTTTGATTTTTAGGAAAAAAACACAATGTAAATATGCTTTTATTTATCATATTTAATTTGATACCTAATCACTTTTTAAAGTGTGGTTGGACAACAGATGTCTCTTTTTTTAAAAAAAATATTTTCTTTGTCTGGAAGAACAGTGATGTATAGAGTGAATTTAAGTGAGAGTCATAACAGAAGCTTATGAGTTAAGGATGTTGGAGTAAAACTGCCAAAAAAATAAATAAATCTCAGGTTTATAATTGTGACTGTCAGGATTTTACATCTTGCTCCTGACTTCACTTTCCTGTTTTTTTTATTATTA